TATTAGGAGTTTGGCCTGCCTCTTTCCCGTGCAGCCTCTCCAGAGCTCCTCGGACTTGCGGGACATCTCCTCCTTCAGGAGCGTCACCGCTGTCGAGTATGGTAGGCCTATCACCGGCTCTGGACCCATTGCTAAATCTGCTGAACCCTGCTTGGCCAGACGGTCGGCATCCTCGTTTCCCGGGACATCAGAGTGTCCCGGTATCCAGATGAGGTTCACTTCGTTTTGTCTGGCCACGGCGTTCAGTACAGTTCTGCACTCCGCCGCCAGGGCTGAGTCCACTCTAGTGGAAGACAGGGCCAGCAGCGCCGCCTTGCTGTCCGAGTAGACATAAATATCCCTGTTTGCGAAGTTGTGTAGGAGGTTTTCATAACCACATCTTAGAATGGCATAGATCTTTGTCTGAAAAACGGATGCACATACGAGCCCAGGGAGTAGGACAACCTGGCTCCCGTGGTCACTCCGTACACATCCGCCCCTGTTCCACTGTCCGTCTTGGAGCCGTCTGTGTACCAGATGACACCGTTGGTAAGCCCCGGAGCGCCGCTTGTGTTCCTCCACTTTTCTCTGCTTGGAAAAGGGAGTTTGAGAGGTCCTTGCGGCTGGTTGCTAGGCAGAATCTTGTCTTTTTTCATTAGTAGAGCTGGGCAACGCAGTGTCGTCTTACTCCATATGCGTATGTGTCTCCGAGCATAGTTGTTGTTCCTCAGGTGACCCAGTCCTTTCAGCCTGTATGCTGATCTCAGGGCTTCATTTTCCAGAAACAGGTGGAGTAGTGGCAACCCGACCAGCCAGTTTCAATGACTCTGGTTGGGGTCGTCATCATGGCACCAGTTGTCCTAGTGCAGACAAGCCTTTGAACAATGTCTAGCAGTGCCCTAGTCTTGGCCGTAAGTGATAATGGGTCGGATGATCCCTGTGTATATCCAATGGTGGATCTTGGGTTTCAGGCCCCACTGAAAGCCCTTTTACATGCCCATAGGGCGTTATTGGCTTTCTTGATTTTGCTGCTAAAATGTTCTCACCATGTCAACTTGGAGTCTATAATAATCCCAAGATATTTCGTTGACTTGGAGCATCTGAGCTTATGATTAATAAGGTTAACCTCAGGCATTTTCTCGAACCTCCTTTTCCTAGTGAAAACAACCATTTCGGCCTTGTCTGGGTTGACATTCTAGCCCTCCGTTTTTTCATTATATTATACTAGCTGACCCGGCGAACTTCGTACCGCCTCTGAATTATTAAATATACCTATTAAATGTTGTGTTAACGTATCTATTAGCTGAATTAAATTCAGTTTTTTTCGATGGTGAATTTGGCTTTGGTTGAAGAAAATTATTGTTTACTCTCTGGATCAGAAGTCACCTAAAATTAAAATTTTACATCATCCCTTTTTAGGCAGCTTGTGGGCAATGTGGGCATTATTCTTGTAAAGTGTACCACCAAATAAATAAACTCAGGCACAGGAATGTTCAAAGAATGTAAAGAAAACAGAAAAAATCTCTAGCGCAGCCCCGTTTCACTCTATCTGCACTGCATGAACTGCACTACTCCATCTGTTCTACTCTATCTGCACTACTCTATCTGATCTACTCTTTCTGCACCACTCTATCTGATCGGAATAGTGGAATAGTTCTGTTCGAAATAGCTCCAGTTCCTGAGCAGCATTGTTCTACTGTATCTGCAATGCCGAGCTTCGTTCCAGGTATCAGAGATGGCGCGGTATACAAAATAAACTTGGTATCGGTTATAAGAGATGGCGCCGTATGCGGGCTTAGTAATTTTTTTTCACAAATAAATAAAATAAAATCTGTTTTTTTTTTTTTTAAGATAATTCCCTAAGTCAAAAATTCAGTAACTATGATGGCAACACAAGCCTTTTCTACATAAAAAATTTGAAAGCATTGACAATTTTATATTGTATTGCCAACATAATGTCATTTTGACTTTTATCTTTAAAAAAAAAACAGACTTTAAGTAATGAAATGACCACATTAATGACATAACAACATGCTGGTACTGTCAACGCTGAAAAAAGTTTCAATTTGACAGCAAAATCCCCATTAACAAAATGATCCTCCATTTATTGAATAATTCATTTATTACAAAAAATGTGATAAATGAAGAACCGCTCGACCGATTTTGTGCAAACTTCACATAAACCATCTAATAAATAGTCTGAACAAAGCCTAAACATTTGTTTGGCTAGGTGAGCCCGTTCTTGAGTTATAAAATTACAACGAAAAGTGGCATTAATTTTAATATATATATAGATTATTTCTATAGGCTTCCATTTGTGTATATGTCCTTTATAAAGATGTTTCTGAATGACAATACTGCCAGAGGCTGGGTATGCCAAGATTGTGAAAGTGTGCGGCTCCAGAACTGGTTTATATACGCACCAGAAATCACACAATCGACGACAATAAGAATAGAATAGAAGATAATCATACTCGTTATCGCCTATGTAGGACGGCGGCCAAGCGCGCAAAAGCCTCCGTTTTAGGGAGCAACCCGGTATTGAGGTATAATTTATCAAGACTAGTACCAGAGGATTCAGCATATTTTTCTGCATATAAAATGAAAATGGACGACTTTTTTCATTGGTCGAGAGCTAAGTTAGGAGCAAAAAACTAAAAATATACTGGAATTAAAATTTCCAACTTCAACCTCGTATAACTTCTAAACCGCTAAACGTAATAAAATGATTTTTCCTTTAGATTCAAGACAAACTTATTCTCTTTAATATGGTATATACATTATTTGAAAAATATCAAAGTAAAACTGAAAAAATCAGTGATTACGTAGGCACGGCGCGAATCGGTAAATTATATGTTTGCTCTAACCTGCGACAACTCCTTTATATATTGGAGTATTTAATAAATTTTTTGCTCAAAAACTGGCAAATTTAATTGGCTTTCTTTCGTCTCAATTATATACCGACCTATTTTAAATAATAAAATAAATAGAGCCGTTTAAACACAACAAAGCGCGGTCTGGCGCTAGAAGTTGTGTGGCTCTCCGTCTCTTTCCCGTAGCCCGCTGACAACCACTGGCATGAATTAAAAATTATGTGCGACGCCGTACACTGCGTTCAGCGTCGATTACAGTGCATTTTCCTTGTTTATGGAATTTTGTGTTATATTTATGAAAAGTCTGGTTTATCGGGTTCTGGTTGCATTAGGAGTTTATACAGGTAAGATGATATTTTCAGTAATAGTAACATAAGAAGTTAACTGAAAATTATCGATAATTTTTGGAAAACTTGTAAGTACGCTGTCCAAAATTACCGTTTAATATGATTATTAAAATTATGCATTCAAACATAACAATTAAATTCGAGAATTAATTTTTGCCATTATTTGAAATTGATGTAATGGTGAATGAAATTATTATTATTCCGTATAATTTCAAGTATGATTGGTCTGTCCCGTCAGCATCTACCACTTGTCCAATTAATTGATATATTTGACAAATGAATGAAATTATCCCTTTTTTACGCTTTACGAAGGTATCTACTACTTTAAATTTGTTTAATTTTGTAGACGGACTGGACGTCATGGATAATGTTTGTATTTTATGTTGCAGAACATTAACGGCGGAATCACCTTGTGTTAAAAAGCCAACAAGACAGGGCTATGCGACAATTTTTTCTGCAGCAGAAAAAAGAAAAGATGCTATTTCTTTACAAATATTGTCCCGAAGAGAAGAAATAAACGCTAATCCAGAAAGATTCAAATATCATATAAGTTGCATAAAATCTTTTTGCAGCAAAAATAATATCGACAAAGTAGTGAATGTGAATAACCCAAACATAACCAAAGTATTTCCATCAAGCAGCGGTCGTAGTGGTAAGAAGTTTGATATAAAAACTGCCTGCTTAATTTGTGGTAAAAGCGGCACTTATAGAAAGAAAAACCTAATATCTATTAGTACAGGTACAGGGAGTAGTACCCGAGAAAAGATTTTAAAAAGCGCTGTACAAAGAGGTGATGATGTTATGCAAGGTAGAATGAAGTTTTGTACTGATCTTTTCGCTGCGGATGCAAAATATCACAGTGCTTGTTAAGCTCAATACATAAGCAAAAAAAATTTGATAGCCTGCAATAGAAAACAACCTGCTGATGAAACACAAAATTCTATGCAAGACGCTTTTAATACACTTTTCAAAAAAATTGCAGGAGAAATTTTACAGCAAAAGAAATGTGTAAAACTCTCGACCCTGTGTAATTACTTTAAAAAAAATAATAGAAGAACAAAATGCAGATTATGAGATTTCAGAAAGTACTGGCAATTTAAGAAAAAAACTTCAAAATCATTTTGGAGATACCATTATCTTTTATTTCATTTCCTGGAAAACCTACTCTCACCATTTCAAGAGAACATGAATACAAATTAATATGTTCTTCTCTCGATCAAGAGGATTCCGACTCATCTGAGGAAGAGTTTCTACCTAGTAAATGTCGGGAAAATGAGAATATAGTTTTGCATAAAGCAGCAGGCATTTTACGGCAGTCAATTTTAGACCATCAAAAAGACAAAACTAAAGTATATGTAACTCCGAAAGCCATAAATCCTATCAATTGTAGAGATGAAATTCCGGATAGTTTGTACAAGTTTTTTGAAATCTACATCAAACAAATAGTAGATTATACCACGAGTCAATAATGATAGCTATTATTCCCGAGGATTATTACGAACTGAGCGGCGTTAGCGGCGAGGGAGTAACATTCCGAGGGAATAATAGCCATTATTGCGAGTAGTATACTCTACTTTATTTACGACAAATTAATTTTTTTGAGATTTTCAATGAACAAATTTCATCCGTCTCATAATTTTCAATACAAATCCACAAGCACTACACGTTTGACACTGACACTTTTGTGGAATAATGACCATTAATCCCGCTACTCGTCATTAATCCCTGGAGGAATAACATATGTCATTATACTGCCAAAATCACAAATATAATACGCACATTATACATTAGTCGTAAATAAATGTCATTAATCAAGTTTGTGACACAATACTTAATTAAGTCGTCACCAAAGCTACCACCGGAAAAAGTTCTTTGGATAGCCGGAGGCCTTCAAGATGGAAGTATGAGTATTAAGGTAAACAAGTACTTTGTTTTGAGTTGATTTTTTTTCAAATACAAATTATTTTTAGGTCAAAAATTCGGGAGTTACTGTCGATGAATTGTTACAGTCTAATCATGAAGAAGCTGATACCCGGCTTATTTTTCACTTAGTGCATAGTTCCACTGGGAGCCCCATTGTTGTTAAGTCAGACGACACTGATGTATTGGTTTTATTGATCTATTTCTATTGGAATGACAAAAAGTTAAATGCATCGGAAATCTATATAGAAAAAGGTCACAACACTACATCTACTAATAAAAAACGATTTGTTCCTATTCACTTAATTGCGCAGAACTTACAAAAGCCAATTTCGGATGGATTACCAGCTTTCCACGCCATAACCGGATGTGATACCACTAATTCCTTCTTTAAAATTAGAAAAAAATCTGCCTGGCAAATATATTTTCGGAACCACCAGCAATTTCACCTGCACTCTTTTGGAAAAACCTCTATTGAACAAGGTCTGGACTCTGCTAGAAAGTTTACTCCATCCTTATATAGAAACGATAAATGTAAAGATTTAAACGAAGTTCGACAGAAAATGACGAAGGAAACGAAAAAGTCTGCGTAAGAAATTCCCCCCACTGAAGACGCCTTTTATCTGCATGTACTCAGGTAAGTAATATATTTTTTTTCTGCACACGAGTGGGAGCAAGTATTAAGCGGAAAAGACACTTTTCGCACGTGTTGGGTGTAGTTCTTACCGCACGTATTGCTGTGGGAAAACTTACTATGTTGCCCTACAGTGCCGAAAAGTACAATTTTCCACTCGCAAATTTGAGCGGTTTATGATTACTAACCGCACGTTCGTAGGAAAATCAATTATTGAATGTGATTATAAGTCTGTTTCTGTAGAAATCACAAACTTGTCAGAGTGAATTTCATTGGTTGAAACTAGTTACCTGAATGTTTTCAACCAATGAAATTCGCTCTAACCGGTTTGTGATTTCTGTAGAAACAGACCTTATATTACCACAACTAATAGACGTACTAAATGTATTTTAAGCATTTCTACTTTGGTTTTACAGATGTTATTATCAAGTTCGTCTCTGGACAATGAGTCATATTGGCTTAGTTGATAGATTAGGATTAGACCCGAAAAATTATGGATGGACAATTGATACAAAAACTGCCTTTCGCCAAAATTCACCAATAAGACGCCCATTCCAGATGAAATACGAAAAGTTATTAGCCTATTTTGTACAGAAAAGAATTGCAACAATAGCAAATGTGCCTGTAAATCTGAAGGAGTTTTTTGCTCGAGTGATTGCAAGTGCAATATGAAGTGCACTAACATTGAGGTCGTAGAGTTGTTAGACGACGCTGAAGACGACTTATTAGAGTTTTGTTAAATATTTAGAAATTATCAAACCTTTTATGTTCATTTATATTTACCGAGTATTGTACTTTTGTTTATCATTTTTCCTCAATAAAATCAATACTTACTTCTTACCTTCATAACACAAAAATATTGAGTACACTACATTACATTACACTACACTATCAACAATATACATTAACTATAATAATACAATACAAACGCTGGAATAATGGGAGCTTTGCCAACACTGCCAGCAGGAATAATTGGGAATATTGGTAACTATTTGGACGCACGTGCGGTCGGTGTACGAGGTCAGAGACGTAGTCAACGCAACTCTGCCGTCGGCATCGGACCGTGCGCCATCGTCTTTAAATGGCTCTATTGAGTTTATTATTGAAAATAGGTAGGTATATAATTGAGTCAAAAGAAAGCCAATTAAATTTGCCAGTTTTTGAGCGAAAAATGAATTGAATACTCCAATATATAAAGGAGTTATCGCAGGTTAAAGCAAATATATAATTTACCGATTCGCGCCGTGTCTACGTAATAACTAATTTTTTGAGCTTTACTTTGAAATTTTTCAAATAATATATACACCATATTGAAGAGAATAAGTTTTTCTTGAATCTAGACGAAAAATCATTTTATTACCTCAAGCGGTTTAGAAGTTGTACGAGGTTAAAGTTGAAAATTTTAATTGCCGAATATTTTTAGTTTTTTGTTCCTAACTTAGCTCTCGACCAATGAAAAAAGTCGTCCATTTCGATTTTCTATGGAGAAAAATATGCTGAATCATGTGATACTAGTCTCAATAAATTATACGTCAATACCGGGTTTTTGAACGCAAACGCTTGTCCGCCGACGGCCTAATGATGATGATGACGCTACTTCTCTTAGAAAACTGCTGATAATTTTTATTTAGCTCTGCTTTGGACTTCCAATTAGGTTAATTTGGTCGAACAAGAGCCGCAATAGTGAGGCTCAGGTTTCGGAAGGGTTTCCAGAAAGACTTCAGATATTCCATTTCAACTTCCATGCGGCGTTCAACCTGCTCTACGCTTCTCCCAACATTTGAGAAAAGCACACCGCATACCCGTTTTTCTACCATCACCCGCCAAGATCTAACGTGAGTAAAAACATTTTTTTACAAACGCGAAATTGCTCGTCCTCATTTTTTAAATTAAACACTGTAGATGTTGGCCCCCTTAATATTGTTCCGGTGCACTTCTTTTTGGCAGAAGCTTACGTTTGCTTGTGAGTGTTCGTACAAATATTACTTTTCTCCATACACGTCAGCTTCCAAAATGACTCAAATATTGCCACACTATCATCTTCTTGTACTGATCCACATCAGTATATTCAGTATGAATTTCGAATTCAGTGTCGTCCATCACCATCTACATTTTGATAATTTTGCGAAATGTAGTCCGACTCTTCTTCTAGGTTTTCCTTTCCTTAGTGCTTTATAGCGAAATGATTTTGCAGACGTTTTTGGTTCTTCTCCTTCACCCTCGAAATACGTTATTGGAAAAATTTCACGCTTTATCAACAAAAATTTAATCCGCGTTTGAATATTTGAAATAAAATTCTGCATGTTTACTGATGCAATGAATAAACTTTAGCAGCCATGGACCAGGACACCTTCTGGAAAACAAATTGTTTATTTTGTCGATAGAAACGAAAAAGAAAAGAAAAAAGAAAAATACAATAACATATTCTTCTAGCTCAAAATTATGTGCATTAACATTTCTGTTAATAATTAAACGTCTTATCTTAACGTTCTTGACGACACCTTGTTTCTACCTTAACAAAACTTTAATTAATTCAATTAAACAATAACTCTCCGGACATGTCGTATCACCATGAAATAAGGCACCTAGGGCCAAGAGAAAATCGCTTATCTCCATGCTAACGCTTGAAACTTAATTACATTAGTACACCCAAACTTGTGAACTAAAGTTAAACCTGTGTCAACAGATTGATGCAACTGTGTAGGTATACCTACCAACGAGAAATACGGAATTTGCCGATACAAGAAGGGCACGCTGAAGATTCGAACTATTCTGAATTCGATTTATCTTGTAAAATAAATTTATTTGCAATTTGAAAATTTTCCAACGCATTCGGTAATTTTTTATCAACAGATGGCTCAAAAATCATAAATTGGACAAAGGTTAACGCACGGTTAACATGCGATTTTTAGGCTCTATGGGCATAGTTAATTTTTTGATATGTATGATACTGATATTTGTCAGGAAATATATGTTAAGTCACTCGCATATGTTTATAAGCTTTCTTTGACAATTAAATCCTTTATTTAGCAAAGTCCATAGAGCCCAAAAGGCCCATACTAGCCGTGTGGGGGAGGTGTTTTGATTTTTTTGAGAAATCATATGTCCAATAATGCACAGTAGGTATGGAGTTAGGGGGGTCTTAAATAATCATTCAATGGCAAAATCTGCACAGGAAATTTGAAATTTTATCAAGTGAGTTTTCAGTGAATCTCACCCTTGTAGAGGACTATAAATAAACCCTGACAGTTTCAGCTCAGTTGGACTTGGAGTTCCACACATCTACCTAATAGCTTTTAAATTTTCTTTGATTTCACCCCGGCCTTTCATATCCGCCAAAATGGTGTAGAATGGCAGGTATTAAACGCCAACTATTGCCCTGATCGACGCAAGACTCACTGATATTTGCAGCATTTTGTTGGAGAAACCTACACAGTATCGCCAAGACTTATCTTGCTCCTAAGAAATTATTTCCATTATCTGAAAACACCGTATTAGTTCTACCACTATCTGTGAATCGTCGAAATGCACTTATTAACGCCCATTTGTCAATTATTTTATTTATTTCGTGTGCAATATACACAAAAATATCACTTGATTTTGATATCATCTCTTCCCTCTTTATTTTTAATAATATAACATAGAAAAAAATTATATTGTAATATTATTTTATTACAATGTACCTCAATATAGTTGCCATATAAATTCATTAACAGTCGCTGGCCATATTACCATGAAATGAAAATATAATAGATTTAAGCTTCCAGAAAACTAATTTGAAACAAAAAATAATTGATGGAAAATTATAATATTACATGGATAAATATGGTCAGCTACTGCCAGAAAATAAAATCAGTAAAATCAAATTTAAACTGTATGAAATCAAAGGTTAAACGTTGAAGGTATAAAGGAGCTCTATGCCACGCCCACGAAAATGGGGTTCTTTTAAAAATGTGACCTTTCAGGAATGGATTTATTGAGAGAAACGGCTCCTCGAAAAATAAAACGGCTCCCCGGAAAAAAACGGCTCCCCGGTAAAAAAAAACAGCTCCCCGGTAAAAAAAAAAACAGCTCCTTGGTAAAACCCTAAGTAATAGAGACATTCCATGAATAACCATTACTTTAAAAATAAAATTAAAAAGGACTTACCACGAGGGGGTTCGAAATTCAAACTCATATAAAAAGGTAATCACGGGACTTTTTATTCAAATTTTTTCGGTAATCAATGGATTATTGCCTTACGCAACTTCATTCCGTTAAAATAATGCCTGATGGCCGATAAGGTACTTTTTCCAAGAGAACAGTAGGTAATCGATATTATATTTCACTTAAGAAGATGGCTCAATTTTTTTGGGTAACTAATATTATTTGAATAATTTCATCATTTCCATTTTTAGTTATGGTAAAATTCTGAACTTTACCGATTTATGTTTGTAAAAGATTTAATTATTAGGTATGGCCTGGACTGGGACTCTGTAACAAATAGAGATCATTATCCCTATCGCTATGGCACTTGCTGTCTTCTTCTCTCTTTTCGAAATCAATTGAGAGGGGACATCAATAGAGATAGAGAAAAGTGTCTCTATACGAGTCCCAGTCCTAGCGGCATAATATAATAAACCCAGTTTATTCTGACAACTATACAAACATGTAATACCTATCATTTTTATCGTAATAGAACTATCAAGAAATAAAAATAAGAACTATTTATGCTATTTTACTCAATGATTCGACAATAGGTAGGTACATATATAGAAAACAAATTTTACTCGATAATTTATTTGTGGAGAGCCTGTACCACAATACAACAGAATATTTGATGGTTTTAAGTTGTGAAACGTGACCAAGCAATATAATGTAGGCATCAACGCAAAATTTATCTAAATTTTCGCGTAGGAGAAGAACTGGAGCTCTGAAGCCCCATTGTTTTAAACCATATAAAACTTATTAAATGCCTTTTAGATAGTCTAGACAAAATAATAAACCGAATAGCAAAATTAATTTTACTACGTAAGAGCTACATGATTTAAGCATTACAATTTTAGGCTGCGTAGGAGTTTATAGATCATAAAATATTTTTGCTACTCACCACCAGAGTATTTCCTAACGCTCCCATTACAATGAGAAGACAGTACATGACAATTAGAATGGTGTAAGATGGTTCATCAATGGCCTTATTCATTATGTATCTATCGTAAAGTTTCGGATCCACTTCGTTGCTTCTGTTCAACACATCATTAAGAGTGTTGTTGTCGATTCGATGAATATCAGTCTCCATTTTTGATTTAGTGCCCTTTAACAAATGCGCGAGAATGTAGGAAAACATTCAAGGAGATGCTAATTTGGTCCTTGAGGCATTATCTAAATTAAAAAAAAAAAAATTAATTAAACCCACTTAAGTTCTGTTGTTGTAATCAACAACCTGATAGTTGCTTGATGCACTAAAGTCACAGATGTAATCTTGTTAAGGCAATTTGAACCAGGAAGTTTGGAGAATAATATACATTAAAATTTTCACAATTCAATCACAACTTCTATTTATTTAAGTTTTTCTACTTTAGTTTAAAGGAAATTGAAAAATTTAGGATATTGAATTGCATTTGACAAAATCTTTTTCATTATCTTTGGAGTATAAATATAGGGTTTCCATTCAAGCTTCTCTCCAAAATTAATGGCCTGTTAAGAAAAAGAAAAACCAAACAAGCTCCCCCTTTCAGTTTGAGTCTAAGCATCCAGAAGCAGTAAACATTTTCAATCCTTAAAAGCTTCGTAGCAAAAAAAAAAAAAACTTTTTTCTATTGAAACTTTTATTTGAAAGCCTTGGCAAATACTTGACGAAATAATGCTTATATGTGATTAAAATAGAAAAATTTGGATGAAGAATAAAATCGAACTGGATTCGTTTTTTTTTTCCGTCTTCTACTTGATTAACTAAATACAAATTATTATTATATTCCATTTCCATCAACAGTTTTATCACATCTTTTCATTATATCTACTAAAACAAGGAATTATATCCGATAATTTAAAGCGAATAGTTATAATATTTTGAAATGTCTAATCATCACCCACCAGTTATTTTATAATTAATTTATGCTATCGTTTTTCTTAAATTAATTAGTTATTTGCGGCGGCATGATATAAATTCAAACTACGTTATTTTAAAATTTAATAATCGATTTATTTTACTAATAAAATTATAAAATACTTAAAAATAAAAAAAAAAATTAATTGAATAAATAAAATATCTCTTCTAAACCTGACTGATACGGGATAGTCCCGATGATCGAAGCAGCATTGCCCCGCTGAATAGCCAAACTAATTAGCTGAACAATAAAGCTCCTTGTTAATGACCTCTTGCCAGAATGTTTAATTCGTGCAGAAATCTCATTAACAAGGTCCTTTGCTTCTACACCCCAGGGTCCCAAGGTTTCAACAGTAAAAGGAACAAAAACAAATTTCTCCACTAATTCCTTATATTTGCATCTCTTTTGTTGCTCCCCAAGAAAAGCTGCCTCCCCAGCTTTGTTGCTAGTTCTTGAAATGTAACTTTCAGCTAATGTGTCTCGACATGTTACATCCCATATCAATTGTTTGCCTTCTCTCCAAGGGAAATATGACAAACCATCTGCTCTCTTTCCGTCACTTCTACAAACACCAATTGGTTCTAGGCTATTAGGAGTATCTGCTGCAACCAAAGATCTGTGCAGAATTTCGTTTATGAACCGATGTCTGGACAACCTACCAGCACTATTGGAACAGCACAGGCCATGATGACCCAGAATGTCAACTAATTGTCCGCAAGTGCAAGTATGTTGTTCACACACCGGTTGACCTAAACGTTATTTGAATTATGATCTAATAATTGATTTATTTACAGTTAAATTTAATTTTATATGCATGTGCTCTAATAGATAGTCATACATTATCAAAAATATCATCATAATTGGAAAATATTCACAGTCACGTTATGGTGTAAGAGGCCTAATTTTATTATGGCACCATTTGGGATCTTGTACAATATTTTCCCTATTCATGTTTGATATGCATAGTCCATGCAGTTTCTTCTCGTGAAAACCCTAATTTAGCGTGAAAATTCAGATTTCAATTGGTACCTACCAATCATAAGTAAGATTGCCCTACGTACTTGCCGGTTAGTTCTTTGTCTGGAATGGCTAAAAATTTGGAGACTAGAAAAACTCTGTACACGAGTTGGATGCATCGAGCTGATGATTTTTGAGTTCTACCGATTTTTGCGTTCCTTGCAAACTTGTAGCCCTTGTCAAAACGTGTAATGAAGAGCTTTCCTTGATTCTTTCAAACCTAGTCAATAGTTGAGGCTGATTTATGTCCAATTGTTGCTACGTGATAATTCATTTTCTCTGCAATTTTTTGGTCATTCATTATCGAATATGTTCCCATCCTTTTCAACAATTTTGTGTGATTTTTTTTGTTTTTATTTGCGCCCCATTTACTACACATCAATAAGAATTTTCCAAGTTTTCATGTCACCTTGTGTCTCTATAAATTTTTGTTACTGCATGGTTGTTTCTGTGAACTCGTTTTGTATTTTTTTGCATCTAACATAAAGTTTGTCTCTTTGTTTCATTTTCTGTATAAAAGATTGTTATCCAGTAGTTTTTATATTTTTTATTATTATTAATATTCTCTTTGTACATACATTTTCTGTTTCATTCGTTAGTTATGTGAGATGTTCAAATGTACCTATACTATATCCATGGAACCAAAAAAGCGGGCCAAAACACTTTCCGTGCGTGATCGAAGCATGATCGGCACGTGGCTTTGCATCTATTGGGCTAAAATAAACAAACCCCTCACGCTGGCCAATCGGATTTACCTGCAATCTGTAGGGGACTTCCAAGGTAGGGGAACTTATTGCTTTTGGCCTAATCGTTACAGGGTCGGAATGGTCATTTACGTTTTAACGATCGGTGGTGTTACATTTTACGGGATATTTAGTAGTGATTTTTTTTATTAGTTTTAAAGTTTTAAATTATTAAAATGTCGGATGAAGAAGCTGCTAATATGTGTTTCAACACTCCACCTCAAAAGAGACCAAAAAAAGTGCCTTTCAATAGTAATGAAAAAAATTTAATTATGAACATTTACAAAAATGAAGTCGAAGCAAATCCCGAATTGTTAGTTGATGAAATCGTGCGAAAAGTAGGAAACATTGCTGGAGTGTCTCCAAGTGGTGTTTATGCCGTTATGAGAGAATCTAAACAAAAGCATTTATTTTCGGATTCAAAGCCATACCCCTTACGAAAGAAAATTATTGACAAGGTAGACGATTTTGATAAAAACGCTATCAGAAGGAAAGTACATCAATTTTTTTTCCGGAACCAAATGCCAACAATAGATTCAATTCTCAAAGATGTAAATGATGATCCTGATCTACCAGATTTCAAAAGGTCGACATTCCACAAGTTGTTGAAAGAATTAAGTTTTAAATTAAAAAAAAGAGGGAGAAATAGTTTGTTGCTCGAGAAACCAGAAATTGTATTGTGGAGACGAGATTATTTAACGAAAATACGGGCCTATAGAAGAGAAAATAGGAAAATTTACTACCTGGATGAAACGTGGGTGAACGCAGGCCACACTAAGTCTAAAATTTGGGTTGATGAATCCGTAGGTTCTTCAAGGCAAGTCTTCTTAGATGGCCTCTCAACTGGGTTAAAGAACCCATCAGGTAAGACCTTATTAAACTCTTAACCTTAACGTGTGTGTCTGTGAACAAGATAATTTGCATTTGGATTAGGTATTGATTTAAAATTTGGTATAGTCTATTTCATTGCTGTTGATAGCAAAAATCGAGGATTAGGGCCATAAAGTAATTGTATTCTACTTGGTTTACAATAACTTTATGGCCTAAACCTCGATTTGTAGGTACCAATACCTATTAGTAAGCGATGGTCAAAAAGGGTCTAAAATTACTTGTTAGCTATGAAAAATAGACCCACAGTATGTATCTACCTGTGTATTTTCCAAGAAAGTTTATTATTAATTATTTTCTGTATTCATTAAAATCGTAGAGAATTGGAAGGGTTTCATCTTACCGTTCGATCAATTAGTTAAAATTCAGGTAACAACGAAAATGTGTTGGTATAGTATGAAATTTTAAGTATGTCTTTGGTAACTGGTTTTCGATTATTTGTGTTTGGTTGGACACGATTAAATCAAAAAATTTTTTTGTCTGCCTCGCAGCACATTTTATTCAGGAAATAGTCCAAAAAATATGTTTTATGCACGTAAATATTCTGTTTCAACTAAAACAAAATAAATCTTGTTTCAGGAAAAGGAAAAAGGTTGATAGTGTGTCACATAGGAAGCGAAACCGGGTTTGTACCCGACGCCTTGTGGGCCTTTGAGTCGAAGAAAACGGGCGACTATCATGAGGAAATGGACGGCAAATCGTTTGAAAATTGGTTTACCAACATAATTCCAAACCTAGAAGAAAATTGTGTAATTGTTTTAGACAACGCCCCATACCATTCAAGAAAAGCTGAACACCACACAAAAAAAGCCCTAATTCAAGACTGGTTGCGTTCGAAAAGTATACCATTCGAGGATAGCATGATAAAAGTACAACTTTTGCAGAAAGTGAAGGAACATAAAACCAAATATAATAAATACATTGTCGACCAAATTGCTAAAGCACATAATAGAGTAGTATTACGTCTTCCCCCTTATCACTGCGAGCTCAACCCAATAGAGCTTATTTGGGCGGACATAAAAAACTATGTTGCAAACAAAAATGTTACTTTTAAATTTTGCGATCTTAAAAATATTTTCAGTGAAGCTGTTTTGTCTATCACTGCTGAAAAATGGAATAATTGCGTAGGACATGTAAAAGATAAGGTAGAAGTGAAAATGTTAGAATTAGATCACATAGTTGATGAATTAGTTGATAGAAATCCGATAATAATTAATCCTAATGAATCTTCTAGCAGTTCTGCGGATTCTGAGTAACTGGACTAAAATGACAAAAGTATTTATTATTTTATCATTATTTTTTATTATTTTTGCGCTAGTATTAAATAAACATAATTTTGAAATCGAAAACTGTTAACCCGTTTGTCAATTGTCCTCCTAAAATAGAAATGTCCCCATTTTTTTGTACTTCATTAAATGTTATATGTATATACAAAATGGTTTTTGTTTTTCTTTATTAGTTAACCTTTGAGTAATTTTTCCATACCTAGTCGCATATTAGGTATTTAATAAAATTTGATAAAATTTCGATGGTCCCTAAGTGCGAGTCCGACTCTGTACAAGCACATCTGCCCAGGCCTCGCCTGAGGGATCACGTGCACTATGCATGACAATGTTTTGGTGCACTCC